ACAGTTCATTCAAGCACATCAGATGTGATAATTATAACTGAATGTAGTTATATGGGAACCAGAATCGTTCGTTTCAGTGGTATGATAGAAATGTGATATGGAAGTTATTGATAAGCTTCTTTTTTGTCCATTATTGTTGATAATTTTTTAAAATGAGGACATTTTTCAGGATGCTTCACATATGCTTCATTATCATCATCATCATCATCATCAGCAGCAGCAGCAACAACAACAACAGCAACAACAACAACAACAACAACAACAACAACAACAACAACAACAACAACATGTTGCTGATAAAGAAAAACTTATTGTTGATAATACTTCAACTATTATTTCTGTTTCATCATATGATGCTTGTAATAATTATGACCATGACGTAAAATGGCGAAGTAATTTTATGGAACGAGCAGATTTTGATGTGTCATTAGAAAATGACCGAAATTCAGAACCGATACCACCACAACGAACTTGTTTTAAACGTAATAGCTACGGTTCTATTTCGAATAAACAAATGATACAGCGTAGTACTTCGATGTGCCATACTTCAAATAATAAAGAATCAAATGATATTGCAATCAATTCCACCTCTAACATTATTCAACAATATCCTACATTCATTAGCCGATCATCCTCAATGTCTATTCCGGAAACAGCAAGAATTTCCATACCACCCAAACCGGCGCCACGACAAATCGATTATATGAAACGAACGACAATAACTGTTGATGTGCCTGAGGTTATGTAAATTTTTCCTAATTTTTGTATTTTATACTTATGATTAAAATTTCTACGCAGTACTTATTTGTTTTTTATTTATATTCATTTATAAATTTAAATATAATCCTAATTTCAAGTAATTAATTTCTTCGGAAGCTAACAACTGCATTTGTTGATTCGAAAAATTTTTGAAAAAATTTTAACATTTGTTGATTCGAAAAAGCATTTTAAAGGTAAAAAATAAGTTATGTATTGTTTCACTGTAAACTTTTAATGAATTTGCATAAAAATATTCTCTAAAATAAGCAGTATTTAATTTATTTAATCTGAATTTTTAGATCGAAAATAGAAATTTCGGAAAAGAGCCGAAACGACCAGTACCAATACCACGACAGAGTAAACTTAAAGTAAATTATTATATTATTATGAATTATTTTCTTTTTAATTCCTTTAAAGAGAAATTTCAATTTTTCTTTCTCTTTTCTGCTTACAAAGTTAAATTAATTAGCATTGTGTTAACACAAAATATATTGCTACTAAGAAGAAAAAACATTTCTCTTTTTCTAAATGAATGAATTATTCGTTTATTTCGAATTTTTAATTATTACCTGCGGCGATGACTTAAAATGGTGTTTGTTGTAAGCGCAATATGTTGCAGTCTTGATATGATGCCGCTTGTCTGAATATAAAATATCATTTCAGTTTCAATTTTAAACATAAATTCGTTCAATTTAATTAGCTTAATACTTATTAAGTGATTAATTAAGTGATTAATACTTATTAAGTGATTAATTGAGTGATTAATACTTACTAAGTGATTAATACTTATTAAATGATTAAGTGATTATTGATTAATGATTTCAGGCAACATTAAACGGTGATTTATTGAAGAAATCTTCATTTGCTGTGACAAAAATACAACATGGTATCGTTAATAGTCCGGAATCAATGGTAATTTCTATCTTTTCTTAAATCTATGCTTTAGAAAAATTAGAAAGCAAGAGAGAAGAAGAAGAAGAAGGAGTGGGGAATGAAATTGGAGAAAGTGAAACAAAGTAATTAAAAAAGTTGTTATTAATGGGAAAGCACTTGAAATAAAATCTGAATAATGTATTTAAAAAAATATCAAACAATATGTATAAAAAAAATTTCATAAAAAAAACTAAAAATTTCAAAAAAAATTTTAGAAATTGTTTGCTATATAAATATTTTTAAATAATCATTTTAATTTTATATATTTTGATCAGAAAAGTTTTTTTAAAAATTAAAGCTCTTTTAATAAACATTTTTTTTAAAAAAATGTTATATTTATCTTAACTTCTTCCTTTTTTTTTTTATTACAGATAACGATCGCAAAAACAATGAATAAAGTTAATGAGGAAGAGAATGATAGAGGCGAATGGATGTTACGTCTGTAAAATATTTTATTAAAAATTAAAATTTTATCACCTTATCAATTTTCTTTTTCTTTTAATGGTAATTTGAAATTACTGGTATATAAAGTAAGCAATTGGCTGTGTTATAATTTTGAATAATTCTTCTGTCTAAATTAATATCATTATGATATTTGTTCAGTTAGTAGAAAATTATTCTTAATTTTATTTGTTTCATTATTTAATATTTCTCGCTATTTTTTAAAAGGTAGAATAAATTGCACTTTACAGTTTTAATTTTCTTCAATTAACGATATTTCTAATGGTATTTGCGGTTATTACAAAATAGTAAAATTAAGATGTAATTGCAAGAATTATGAAATGTTATGTATTCATGTTTAATGATGTTTCTATTTGAAATCAAATTTGTATAAAATATAAATAAATAAGTAAGTGAATAGATAAATAAATGGTATCGTATTGGAAATGTTAATGCTATGAAATGAAATCAATAGATTTAACAAATAGAAAAAACCAAATTATTTTTTTTTCTGTTTTAGAATTTGTTGAAGAAAATAAGAATTTTTTTTGTTTTTTAGTCTTTCATAAAGTCTCATTTAAATGCTGAAGTTTTTTAACGAATTCAAATTACTTTTTCTAAAACTGTTTTTGCATTTTTTCCTTTTCAAATTTTTTAAACTAAAAAGCTTTAAAACTTACCCTTGTATTTTTATTTTTTTACAAGTTTTTACACATTACTTTATTAATTTATGATTAAATTTCTGAATTTTTGATATTATTTTGTTGTTATTTATAATTTTTTGAATCAAAAAAATACCGCTATACATATTCATCGCTTATTTCGAAGTTCCCTTACGATATACAATATGTAATTATGTATAATTGAAACTATGAATAGAACTTGAAATTTGTTTTTGTTCATTTATCCTTGAAAATATGGTATCAATGAAATGCTTTGCTCATAATGCTGGTACAATTTACTTAACTGATATTTAATTGTTTGAACATAATGATATCATACCGTAATTTCATCAAATGATATCGTACTATAATTCTCCATAACTGCGTATTACCGTAATTCCCCCAAATGATATCTTAGCGGAACTTTCCCAATTTTCTTTTTTTCATCATTTTTTGCAATAATTATGTCTCAAAGCAAAACTCATAAAAGTAACAGGAAAAAAAATGATCTTTAAGTAAAATATATTTTGTAAAATATGTTAATAATTTGAAAGTAAAATATTCAATTTAAAAACACATTTATACTATAAAATACAGTTGTGTCATTTTGTTTTATTTAAATCTACTCAAAATGTAACACACTTCGAATAGTTATATTAAACAATCATAAATGATTGATCTTTCGATTATACATTTACAATGGCGACAATTAAAATGACCGTATTTTAAAATATGTTTGTAAGATGGGAATAATTGTGAAAATTTTATTGCATGAAATATCTATCTATGAAATGTAATATGACAGGTAATGAAGTAGTAATATAACTTAAAAAAAAATGAATTTTTGAATTTTGGGGAACGATTAATTTTGATTAAGTTTAACTTTTAAAAAATTTTAGATATGTTAAATTTTTAAATTACTTAAGAAAAGGGAAGACGAAAAAAGAAAAAGAAAGAAAAATAATAATCATGCATCATCCAATGATAAATTCCTGTTCACAAATATCATGATTAAAGATAATACAACTCCCAAGGAGATCAATAAACTGAGAATACAAATAATGATAGTGATAATGGTTATAACTGCTGATAATATCTATGATTAATTAATTTAATTTACTGCTTTTGATATCCAACTACAATGCATTTAGACTTGTTTACAGTAATAATACATGTAATATAGTAGCGATAAATGATAATTATCATTTCTCTTTATTGCTGTATGAAAAATCAATGATGGAGAATTTTTGGTTTCCGTTAAAAAGCTAATTTTAATCTTAATCTTGAGCTAGTGATGTTTATTTCTCCATTAACAAATGATGTTTTTATTCGTCAAATATCAATTACTGTAGTTGATAAATAATAGTAGTGATAATGATTATAATAATGATTTGGATAAAAAAAAAGGAAATGTTTGCCTGGTGGTACCAAAGGACTTAACTTATCTTTAATTTGAAAATCAAAATTTTTGACCGAGTCTTGACAATTACAAACTTTAAATTTTTAGTTCATCCTTAACCTTCGATTTTTTAGTTTCAAATGCTAAATTTAAAAAACATAGCCATTAAGAATATGTCAGTCAAAAAGCAGAAATTAACAAACGCTTTTTTTCAATTGAAATGTAATTTAATTTTGGAAATTCTTTTAAAAAATGCTATTTCTCAAGAAATTATTCAATATTTTAGTGTACTTTTGATAGATAGAAAATGTTTTTGCATTTATTACTTTCTTCCAGTTAGCTATAAATGTGTTTGTCATCCCCGCTTTTGATTCTTCTGCCATCGGTGAATGATCATTTTACCTCTTCCGTCATTTCTTTTGTTGTTTGCGCTAAAATAAATGAAATCTCGTTTATCGAAACACTAAAATAATCCTTTAATTTTGAATCTCAAAATGTTAATTTTGTGTACTTTAAACAAAAATATCGTAAAGGAAGCAATCAAACCTTCCAAAGATGTTACTGAAGTAGTATTATCAGAATCAAAAATTTCTTGTTTCATATCTTCATCAGTTTCCTCCTCATCAATCATATCATCCATTTCCGTTATATTTTTTTCTGATTGTATTTCGTCTTCATTATGAATAACTAAAAAAATTTAAGTGTTAATATTTGATAAATTATCATACTTGGTTATATACTTAGAAAAGATAGCCATCAGAATCACAGGTTATCTTTTTTAAATCAAAAATTAACATTATCATTTTTTTTCCTTAATTGAATTATCACTTCCTAGTTCTCCTTCCCCTTGTTGTTGTTGTGATTTTGATTCCAATTCACTTTGTACTGATTCTATTTCTTCAGTTGTTGCTACATCAACTATTGCTGATTCAAATTCTTCGCTATCATTTTCTTCATTTATCAATGATAATGTCGAATCTTGCTCAATACCTGATAATGATTATGATTTAAGTGAAAAAAAAACAACGATTGTTTTATTATTTTATTAAAGTGATTATTTTAAATAGTGTTATTTTATTTCAAAAAAAATATTGTATCAAAATAATTATTTAAAAAAGGAACATTATTTTATTTCGTTTATTTTATATTTTATTTCTATTTAATGTCTTTCTTTTGTTTTTATTGCAGCTAATAAATCCATATGTGGCGATATAATTAATTATTAAAGCAAAAACTTTCTGTCAAATTCTTATTCCACTATATTTACCGTACAGTTTTAACATTATGCAGTATAAAGTATGATTTACTAATTAAAACAATTATATTCATCTTACTAAAAATTTAATTTAGAATTAAAAATCAATGATATTTATTCTGATTGGGAGCAATTGGAAAATATTACAAAAATTTCAACCTTCTCCATTGCTATCATCTTGTATCATAGATTCGTTATTATTTCTATTTGATGATATATCAGTTGAAGTAATATCACTGTCATTTACGTTGTCAACTTCTGGCTCCTCAGAATGCATTTTATTATTTGCTGGAAATGAATAATGATAAAGGATTTTTCTAATTTACTATCAATACCATTATCTTAAATAACTTGTTTTAACTTTCGACGTTTTGTAGGTATCATAAAAACGTTTTTTTTAAAAAACGATTTACGTCTAAAATTCTCAAAATTGTTTATTTGACTAGTAACAACGATTTTAAGCCAGTATTGTTTAAGTGCATTGATGCATGATAATGATAGTTACTTTGGTTGCTTGGTTCAATTTCAAATGCATGGAATGGTAATAATGTTGACGTTTGTGATACTGACATTAACATCGGTGATGATAGTGTCGTATTTTTTAACGTAAGATTTTCATCTACAAAAAATTTAAATCTAAATTTGATCCAAAAAATCCTTTTTTCCAAAATTTAAAATTCATAATTTATTCTGAAATTAAGAAAGAAGATAATAATCAATAAATTGATTAGGATGATTAATTGATTCCATTATACCTGTATTCATCGTTGTTGTCATGACTAATGATAAATCTTCATTCTAAAAAGAAAACAAAATTGAGTGAGTAAATGATGGAACAAAAATGCAAATTATCAATCTATTAGCAAATAGGTAAATGATTAAATAGCTTAAAATACACTGACATTATGTAATTTGTTAAAATAAAAAAAAATAGAATGCATAAGATTAAATTAGCATAATACATTTAGAAAAAAAAAAAAGTGAAAAAATTGATGAAAAAAGTAGAGGTGGAGTTAAAAATACTTGCTTTTAATGATTCCTTTCCTTTTCTTGCATTAATTTTTGCTTTTGGTGATTTCGTGATCATTATCGATTGCTTTTGTACATTTCCAACAGTGATATCATGTGATCTATGCTCTTTATTATCTCTACCACTTATTGATAACAAACTGATTTTGTTGTTGTTGTTATTGTTCGTTGCTACACTATCACTTATCACCTTAAACAATTGATAATTTTTCAATAAAGAAAAATGCAATCGTATTATCATCAAAATTATCTTTGCAAAGCAAACATTAATATTATGCCAATTAATATATTAGAAATTTAATCATTTTCATTATTTTTCCAATTATTAAATGTTTACTATATTTGGATTATTGGATAATTTATGAGGGGCTGGGAATTTTTTTATGTATATTTCTCACGTATGTTTTTTACGTGTATTATTTATTGTCTTCATTTTATCACTTTTTACTTTTCACCGCAGTTTAAATACTTTTTTCTGTGTTGTTTAAAGAATATATTATTAAACTCTAATTACTGTATTCTATGATGCTAATTAAAGCTAATTATTACAGTGTATTTTAAAGATCATATTCAAATCATTATAAGATTTCTGATATTCAAGGAATAATTAAAAAGACTTTCCTCATAAGAGTAAGCAAATAATAATTTTTACCTGTTTAGAAATTTACTACAAAGTGTTTATTGTTTAGAGCTTTCGTATAAGCTTGAGTGATCGAATGATTCCTAATTATTTTATCAATTACTGATTTAATCAATTGTTATTAGTTTCATTAATTACTATTTTAGGTAAACTGATAATTAATGAATACATGATAATTGCTGCTTATATGAAAGTTAGGATTGAAAGATTCTCAATTACTTTATCAATTATTAGTTCAGTCAACCATCAATAATTTCATTAACTGCTTATAATTAATGAAGTAAGCTTTAAGTAAGCTGGTAATTAATGAATGTATGATAACCAATCTAGTAATTATCACTATATAATGTTCCCCTTATCGTAGTGATTGCATATTTTTATAAATCCATCAACTGTGGCACACATCAAATTCAATCATTATGTTGAATGACTGGTCAGAACAGCAGACGTTGATTATTGAAGCACGATAACTAGGCAGAACGATAACATGGCAGAACATTAGCACAAATAATCAGGATGAGTCATGGATTGACGGAGAAAAATTAGTAAAGGTTTGTCTAATTACAATTTGGTGACAATTTGCAAACAGCATAACGCTCTTCTGTCTTTTTATCGTCGAGTCATGCATATATTATTTTGTAACAACGATAAAGTCACTTTTAGTATCACCGATTAAGTAACGGATAATTTATATATTTAAAATCTCATCTTACTAATTTAGAAAAGGCAAGTTAGGTCTTGTTAGGAGCCTTCCTAGCTCAGTTGGTAGAGCATCAGACTTTTAATCTGAGGGTCGTGGGTTCGAGTCCCACGGAGGGCGAAGGTGATGTTTTAGTGGTACATTTCGCAGTGATACCAAACAATCTATATGCTACATTTAATTATCACATTATGGTATGTGCTATGGGAACCGTTGGCATGTGTGATGTAAGTATTTCACCGGAATGGGTAACTTATTGACTGTGCAATACTCAATATATTAGATCCTATTAATGCAAAAGTTAAATTTACTAATAGATTAAACATAAAGAAATGAAAAATATGCATTGTTGTGCGATGATAGTGCAATATTTTAATGCTGGCATTGTTACAGAATAAATGGAACAAATTAGGTGAATGCATGTCATTATTTTAATATATATCATTATTGTTATTATCATTATCATTATTATTTTCATTATCATTATTATTATTAATATTAATATTATTATAATTATAATAATAATAATAATAATAATAATAATAATAATAATAATAATAATAATAATAATAATAATAATAATAATAATAATAATAATAATAATATA